CCCTAAACCCTAAACCCTCTATGGCTACAAGCTTTGACCCTGAAGCGCTAGACACTGCAAGCCCTACAGCAAACCCTGAGCCATGAAGCCTCTCATAAAGGAACCGTCAAAGGAACCCTTAACGGAGCCCTAAGAGGAACCCTAAACCCTAAACGCCCCTTAAAGGCCGAAGATCCTATAGCTGGGAAGCGAAGTCTTCAACCTGCAGCAGGCGTCGTTGAGTGGCATCGGCACGATTGCGCCGCACTTTTCAGAGCTGGGGGTAGGCAGGCACATGCACCGGGTCTTCAGGGTTGTCGCGAGCCCGAAACCGTATCACACCATGATACTTACGGGATTTCTTAGCCTTGATGTTCACTGACCTTTCTTGGAGTTCAGGTTTAGATGTTCAAGCATGTTCAAGCCCGGATTTGGCGTCCTGAATTGGGGTCCATGTGTCGGGCGGCAGCTTTCAAGTTTTTGTACGTCGGGTCATCGCGGTTCTGGGTTAGGGTCGGCACATCCACGGCCTGCAGCCCTACCGCATAACTACCAAGTCCTGAACCACAGCCGTTTGAGCTTTCGGCTGCAGATGGGAGTTTTCGAAAATTGGGGGTACCTTATTTTGGGGTCCATATAATAAGGATCCTATTATTTAGGGTACTATATTAGGGTCCCCTATTTTCGGAACCCCCCCAGATGAGTAAGACCTAGGGGCCGAGGTGGAACGTGCTTTCGGTGGGTGCAGGGGAGCCGGGTGGGTAGCCGCTACAGTAAAGGGCTCGGGGCCGTCCCAGGCCCCGAGTAGTTGTTTCCCGGTTCTTGCCAAAAATGCATCTCCAAGCTCTTAGCCAATAGGGTTTGGGGTCCAATTATACTATCATTATTGTAAGGAACCCCCAAAACCCTATTCTAATTGTTAAGGCCCCTACATTATCTGAAGCTGTTCAAGGCTTGACCTATCTCCCTGAGACCTGGGCGCGGATGCCCTTCCTCGATCGCTTGCAGTGGCGGGTGCAAGCGCCTGGGGCCTGGCCGACGTTTCCTTCACTGAAGACGTGACTTGTAAGGGTTACTTTAGGGTTTAGGGTTTAGGGTTTAGGGTTTAGGGTTTAGGGTTTTGGGGGTTCAGGGGTTTATGGATTGGGTCGGGAGCTCTGGGTTTTTGGGGGCTCAGGATGGTTTCAGCAAGAGTCGCGAGGTTCAGCAAGCATAAATCTCATGGCTGCAGATGCGGAGTAGGAAAGGCACCGAAGCCGTGCTTCAATCTAGGACTTCTCAGCGGTACCGCTGCTGTTATGCTCTTGCTCGTGTGAGTCAAGCCACGGACCGAAGCTCCTGAACGCATCCGAAAGTTGTCCCTCTCGATCTTCGAGGTCCGGCTTCGCGCCTGCAGATCAGATATTTGAATATAGGATTCTATAACCTATTAAATATAAGATAATATACCATATTCTGATGCAGTATAATATAGTTTAGTGTACGGTAAATACGCTAGAATATAATGCTGCCTCTTCGAGTTGTCGCTGATTCCGTCGTTTGTGTTTGTCCAGACGACCGCTGGGCCTTGTGCAGCTGCCCTCGGACACTGCATGGTTTGAACTCTGCAATCGCAGGCTAGGGTCTAGGGGTTTAGGGGTTTAGGGTTTAGGGTTTAGGGTTTTAGGGTTTAGGGTTTAGGGTTTAGGGGTTTAGGGGGTTTAAGGTAGGGCAGCAGCAGAGTCCCTTGTGAAAAAAGGGGGTTTAAGGTTTAGGGGGGTGTATGTAGTCAGCAAAGAAGTCAGTCAGTCTTGCCCGTGTGCTTGCTATCTGCATCTTCGTTCTTGCCTCAACTATTAGGATTACTCTTAGAGCGTCTCCTCTCAAGCTATACCCTGTCACTTGTCTTCCTCAGCTAGCGAGTGGGGAGGCGAAAAAAGTAAGAGCCTCAATATGCCTTAATGACCACCCTAAACCCTAAACCCTAAACCCTAAGACCTAAACCCTAAACCTTAATAACCACGCCGGCTTCGGTCACTTCGGTCCCCTGGCCACGCCCCGAGAATCGAACCGTGCCAGAATGCACAAAGTCCTGAACAAAGTCTTCGTGTCGCTAAGTCACAGAGACCTCCCACCCGCAGAATGAGTGCTTGAACGATAGGCCCGTTATCACCAACCTTCCGCCTTAAACTTTCTATTTCAACCTCTAAGCCCTAGTCTCTATGCGAACCCCATGCGCAGACTTTATACCCGAAGGCTCGACGTGATGCTGAACTCCTGGGCTTTGAAGGACTTGCGCCATCAAAGGGTCATAGTCTTTTCTGGCTTCTAACTCAACCCTAAAGCCTGAATCCTAAACTCTGAACCAAAAGCCCTGAACCCCAATGACTAAAACCCAGAAATTTGCCTGAGTAACCCGAGCAACCCTGCAATGCGGGCTCGTCCTTGCTAAGTGGGAGCGAAAAACCCAGAAACTGTCGGGGCTTATGCGTGATGGTTTGGGGTACAGGGCTCCTGGCAAGGGATGGCATTCATCGAAACCAGGCGCAACAACAAGGGCTGAGGGCGTAGGGATGTGCGTGTGCAGTTTTTCAGGCTGTTTGTGCTTTGGGGTTCCGGGATTCGTGGTTCTACTGCAGGGGGCTTAGAAGCTCAGCACGGCCACGCCGCTGCCGCTGCCCCTGCTACTAGCGGTGCTGCTGCTGCTGCTGCTGCTGCTGCTACTTCTTCTTCTAGTATTGCTACTACTGCTACTGCAACTACTACTATTACTACCACCGCTGCTGCTACTACTACTACTACTACTACTACTACTACTACTACTACTACTACGTGCCAAGTGGGTGACAAAAACTACTACTACTACTACTACTACTACTACTACTACTCCTACTCCTACGA